GTTGGGCATGGGGATAGAAACCCCACATTACAATAGCCATCAAACCGCTACAGAAACTTCAACGCACACAAAATATATTACAAATACAAAAAATTCAAATAACCATCTCATTCGCCGCTCGAATCAGCGAAGTGAAATGACAGAGTGGGCTGCTGAATGCTTGCATTCAGGAAGCTAGTCAATCTGCTGATGTGTATTATCTCAATGAAAGCAAGAGTAACACTGGAGATGTTAAATGTACGTACACTGTACGAGTCTGGCCTCCACTGCCGCCAAGGTAGCTAAAGAAATGAGGATGCATAGCACTGAAGTGCTTAGAATCTGCGAGACCAAATGGAATGGATGTGGATCATCAAACGTTTCAACTGGAGAGTCAGTAATCTACTCCAGTTCGGTCACCCAGACGGCAACCACGAGCACACTGAGGCAGTGATTGGTTACATGATATCACCATCGGCAGCCGAAGCCCTAACGCAGTGGGAACCAATTACATTATGCAGGATAATGACAGCAGGGTTCAACTCGAAAGGCAGGAAGAGAGGTCGCAATCATCCAATGTTACGTACAATGCTATAAACAACGCGGAACAATATGAGAAGGAAGATTTTCACAAACAACTACAAACACTAATTGACAACATCTCAAATAGCGACATCAAAATCTTCATGGGCGATAAGATGTAAGCCGGACTGGGAGCAGATAACATAGGAAGAGAACTCTCCATGGAGGAATGAATGAGAACGGAGAATTATTCACAGACATCTACGCTTTCAGTGATTTCGTGATCGGAGGCATCGTTTACAAACACAAGGATAAACACAAGACAACATGGATTTCGCCTGACGGGCACACAAGTAACCAGATAGATTTCATCTCATGTTGCTCAAGGAGGTGGAGATGCAACCAACTGGACACAAAATCAACAAGGGGAGCAGATGTGGTCTCACATCATGGTCTAGTTCAAGAAACATTCAACGCCAAGCTGAATGCCTCCAAAACAACTGGTGACAGACAACAATTGAGGTTCAACACTCAGAACCTGAGAGACGAAACTACAAACGATGCCTTCACCGCAGCCATAAGAGAGGCGTAGGAGACATTAAACACCATCACTGATGAGAACACTCGAGCTATCTGAAGGCGATATCCAAGGAAACCTGTACAACTGTTCTAGGACGAAATAAGAGACCAGAGAAGGAACGGCTCTCTCCGGACACCTAGAAGCTAATAGGGGAGAGAGGGACAGTGAAACATAAAATGAAACACTGCAAACGTGCACAAGAGGAGGAGAATCTGAGCCCAATTTACAACACACTGAATAAAAGGGCCAGGAAAGACAAAAGACAATTCTGCGACACACTGACTGGTGAATGAAGCAGAATAGACAAGCCACAGGTAAAAGCGACCACGGAATATCATATCAGGTAACCAGTTTTCTATCCGAGATGGAATCGCTAGATGATATATATATATATATATATATATATATATATATATATATATATATATATATATATATATATATATATATATATATCCGTGTATGTAAAGTATTCAGCTGACGAGTTCTACCGAAATTTGATGAATTCATTAAATCCTGCTTTATTAACCTTTATTGCTTGTTTTAAATTCGTATCGGGAAATAAATGTTTTCAATTCTTGAAGAAGCGTCTCCCAAAAAGCACTATCAATGCACTAAATGATCTAGTGAAATTGAAGTGTAGGATTGCTAAACACTCTGCACGACGAGATTTTTTGAAGGAATGTATCCAGAATAATATTTATCCTCGAACATTTTACAAATCCTTGCGTAAAGATCATTTGAGACCTACACGGGCAAATCTTTACCGTCTTGCTGAATCACATTTGTGTTCTGAAACAGATGAAATCAGTAATTTATGCCTATTGTCAAGCAAACTGATCAGTGTACAAAATGAATTAAACTTTGTATGTTATATTAAATTCACTAAATATCTGCATGCCACATCAAAAAAGACAAAAGAATCAGAAGAAAAGAAACTGAAGAAGTCACTTCATCCGGAACCGCCAAATGAAATTTTCCCAGTGGATATATCTAATTATGTTCATAATTTATCTGATATTTCCCTATCAAAAGAACAAGCAGAAATTCTGTCATTGGGATTCAAATTCTGTGTTCCCATGAAAAAGATAAAGCAAATCGATATCGAATGCCAATTCGAAAATCTTTATGATCAACTTATGGGGCTACATGCCACGTCCAGTGACAGCGAAAGCTGGTTGAAAGCAAAGATGGTTGATATTGCTCATCAATTTCGAGTCATGCCAACCAATCAAAAGTCACATATCACCAAAGAACACTGGAGATCTTTAAACAAGCTCCGAAAAGACAAAAATCCTACAAGCTGATAAAGGACAAAGTGTAGTGCTAATGAACAAGATAGATTATCTCGAAAAAATGAATCAAATTCTCTCTGATGAATCTAAATTCAAATTGGATAACCATGCAAAAGACCAAACGTTATCAACCGAAAGGAAAATTGTGCAGCATCTACGACAACTCTTCAAAAATAAATACATTGACGAAAACACATATAGAAATATCAAACCGATTGGGTCACAAATCCCAAAACTATACGGACGCGTAAAAATACACAAACCAGGAGCGCCGTTAAGACCCATACTCTCTATGATAAACTCACCATACCACAGATTAGCACAGTGGCTATGTGAACTGTTGCAGCCCTTGCTGAAACGTTTCGGAACACATATAGTCTCTGATTCATTTCAATTTGTCAATCAAATTAAAGATTTCAATGTATCCGATAAGCATTTGGTCTCTTTCGATGTTACCTCCCTTTTCACAAATGTGCCAGTCGTTGAAACTATCGACTTCATATGTAAAGAAGCTGAAGACATACCCATTCCAACATCGGAATTGAGGAAATTACTACTTTTATGTACTAAAAATGTCCAATTCCAATTCAACGGGCGTCTGTTCCGTCAAGTTGATGGTGTCGCAATGGGAAGCCCTTTGGGACCACTTTTCGCCGACTTATTCTTGTCACGCCTAGAAACCGGTACTTTGCAGCAACATATACAAGAAACAAATGTATACCTAAGATATGTTGATGACATTTTTATTGTCTGTGAAAGCAGATCAAAAGCGGAAGACATGTTAATAAAATTCAATTCATGCCATCCAAATCTCAATTTCACAGTAGAACACGAGGAAAACGATACTATTAAATTTCTAGACGTTCTTCTAACCAAAATGAATGATGGCACAATCGAAAGATCTATATTTAGAAAGTCTTCATGGACAGGACAGTACATGCATTTCAAGAGCTTTGTTCCAATCCAGTACAAAAAGAACTTAGTCAGAACACTGTTCAATAGAGCACGGAAAATTTGTTCTGACAGTACTATTGAACATGAAATAAAATCTCTGAAGGATATTTTATGTAAGAATGGATATCCTGAGAAGTTCATTAATAAATACTCTAAAGAAACTACCCCTTGCAAAACAATTCAAACAGTTCCAAAGAAACCTGTCTATATCAATTTGCCATTCAAAGGAGATGACGTACAGGAAGTAGTGAAACGAAGTCTGTCTGTTTTCGACATAGAACTTTGCACAAATATGCGGCATTTCAAGTCGCCACACTCCGTGTAGCACGCTAAACAAGAGAAGAAAGTACAAGAAAAGCATAATAGAGACAGTGAGCAGAGAGGTGAGACAAAGGAGTAATAACGAAGAACAAAGCAGTTTCATTGGAAATCATGAGTCACAAGGAGTGGATGCATCTGCGCCACTGAGAACGATTTTGAGCCATGTCACCAATTGTCTCCAACCATTGATTTTTACCGTCCCGAGGACCCCAGCCTGGAAGTCTACACCTTCCTACATGGCTTAGACCAACTGTTGTGGATTTCATTGACTGGTGCCAAGTTTTTGTTTGACCGCCGAGAGCTTTTTTCCAGCCTGACCCTATATCCGCTAACATTGCTCGTCGAGGGAGGCGATGGCTTGGCATACGCAACACATGTCCTAACCATCTCAGTCTTTGTAACTTCACGACTTCGTCGATTGATTTCCCCAGTTTACCTAGAACTCTACGCCTAACCTCAATGTTGCTCACCTTATTATGCCACTTTACACGGGAAATAGAGCGCAGGCACCTATGATCAAGGACAGCTAGTCTTTTCATGTCTTCCACTCTCAGTGGCCAGGTCTCACAGCCATAAAGGAGGACGGAGAGGACTGATGAGCAGTACACACGCCCTTTGGTCGGTAGTCGAACATCTCGTCTACGCCAGAGTCGGCGTAAACTGGAAAATGCGAAACGAGCCCCTTGTATTCGTGCTGAGATTTCGTCAGAGATCAACCTGTTGGTGTAGGCTGATGGTACTTCCCAAATAAGTGAAGCGGTCAGCGTGCTCTATCACTTCACTTCCTATTTTTAAACTAGGCGTCAATGTAGTCCAGTGAAACGAAGACTCGATAAAGCCATCAAGAGAACTTATTATGCTGCAAAACTTGTTATCCTTAACACCACCATATATATATATATATATATATATATATATATATATATATATATATATATATATATATATATATATATATACAGAAACAGAGTGTGTGTGTGAGGAATTCAAGAATTAATAGAGGAGAACAAGTGGAATAATACCCGAAAAATGTTCAAAGTGAAAAACGCAAAAATAATAGTAATCGTGATAACAGGAAGAAAGGTACACAGACTAGATAAACAAACAAAACGATAAATAATGAAATAAATGTTCATCACTTTATGGAAAAGTTAGAAATACGGAGTGCTGTATGTACATTTTTCTTACACAAATGTCTGGCTTAAATTCATAAACACATAGCCAAGAGGACTCAATTGTCATTAGCTGACTGAAACGCAAAAATGAGCGGCAAACTACCATGATCTTAAAATCAGCGTTAGTTAGTTGGTTGAGTGAATGACAAAAGTCATCCAAGTGTTCTAGAAATTTTAGTAACGACTAAGAACTGTTTGTAAACAATGGTCAATCAGCATTGCATCTTCTTCCATTTTCATTGACCAACATTCAACATCGCCTAATTCCTTCAGTGAACTTCGTATATCCGTTACCATTTTCAACCACAGGTTAACATGATTCTGATAAATGTGTAATTGTGAGACTAACTCTTTGAATTCACTATTTAATCGATGTTGATTTATGTAGGCCTAGAGAAAACGAATTAAAAACGATAATAAAAGACTGAAATTAATCGACAAAGAACAGTTTCTTTCCATGTCCTGCTATTCATCATATTCGATATTTATGTGTACAAAATGAACAAATGAACTTAGTCTTTTATGATTAGGAATACCTACCAGTGTGAGTAAATAAAGGTGTAGTAAAAATCATCAACAGTTTCACATTAGACCACCTGCTCCAAATAGGCCAAAAAGCCAGCATTGGAGAATATTTTTCTACCACCTATCGGGTACCAAACAAATTTCCGAAACCTTCCAGTTGCCGAATATGCGGAAAAAAGAGGCAAAAGCAACTCGCCTAAAATAGCCAGAATTCTGTGTGTGAAAGTAATAGGTCGAGCCATTATTGACACTTTGGCCTGAAGTGGAAAACTGTAAATTCAAAAAAGTCTGTCTTAGTTTACTGAAACTCATCTGATACCATTACTCAGAGATACTTTTGAACTGTAATCTAACTTCACTTAATGGTTCAATCGAGTCTATTTAGGTAGAACATCAATATCGTTAGTAACAACATTTCTTCAATTATTATAGATAGATAACTGCAGAACCCGACGAAGGGGAAAATGAAATTATCGAAAAGATTAGCCTTTGTTCAGCAATCTCAGTTGTTTTCTGACTCATAGGATAATGAAGTGTTAAAGTAAAAACAAACACTTTCATTACCTTTGAAACATTTTCATCAATTTTAGCCAATAATTCATTTGAAACTTGGTTGATTGATGTCAGCATGACTTGCTTCTTACTTTCTAATTGAGCTTTCCTTTGCGATTTTACATTCTGATATTCCTTATAGATTAACGTCAACATGGTGTAAAAAGGCACCTTGAAGAATACAAGAACAGACATAGAAGAGAAATTACTGAGTCAAGGCAAAGTCCAACTTTTATGCACTTAAGAGGCGGAGAACGAACAACTGTGCTGTAAAACAGACGAATTTGAATCCCTAACCATAGTCTTTGTTTAAGTTAACCCCAATCTCTGCCTAACCAACCGCAATATTTGTTCTAATTACATCCAATTAACCTTAAGCTGTTTTAAACCAAAGCCTAACCTTATTATTTCAATAATTTAGCATACAAGTAACCAGTTATCCTGAAGAGTATCATTACACTTCACTCAATATCTTTTCAGTCATGAGTACAGTTCTATTTACCCTTGTTTGGATTGTGAGCTTTCCAAAATTAGCGGTGTGGTATTGACGTCTGTAGGATGTGAAAAGTTTAATTTCGCTGAAGTCAACCCGTAAGGACGCTAAGACGTACATACACACATAAAGACTAGTGGAGTACATCAGGTCGGGTGTGAGGACAAATACTCGCCAGCGGTGAAATTGACTAGTGTCAGTTGCGCTACATCGTGAATTGGCAGAAGTTGGAATTCATTGGCTGACCGTTCGATCGGGTTCCAGTGACTTAATGGTCTACTAGCTCCGCTTGTAGTCGGAAGGTCCTGGGTTTGAACCCAAGTGGGCGCGCGCCACTGAAGAGTTCTGATATAGGACGAAACAGCTGTCCAGAACTCTCAGGGTTTCCAACGGCTCTCTGATCGATGTCAGCTCATGGTGAAATCTTGTCACCTAACCATCAAATATACAGAAGAAGGTGTAAATCAACTGGACATTTGGTGAAGGGACAATTGTATGACAACAAAAGCCAGAATCGATAGTGGACTTCTCATATGAGAAATCAGTGGAGTAGGGATGTAGCTATGAAATCATACGGTTCACCAGGAACTCAAGGAATGAACAACAGTAATTATTATAAACTAATACTATGATACCTGTCCATCAGTAGACAATGACTAAACTAATGAATTAAGGATCAATACATAATACAAATTGACTTCATCTCAATCTCAATGAAGTGGAGGCGCAGCCTACTGGACACAAAAGTAAGAAGAGGAGCAGACGTTGGCTCACACCATTATCTCGTACAAGGGACAATCCAAATCAAACTAAAAGCTTTCAGAGAAGGAGGAGCTGCAGACAGACCACAAGCCAAGTTCAACACTCAAAACTGAAGGACCAGGCTACAAAGGACATCTTCATTGCAAGCATAAAGGACAAAGTCGAGACACAAATCAACATCAGCGAAGAGGTTGGCATCGAAAAGCACTGGGACAACTTGAAAACGGTGTGGAGTCAAACTTGCATGGAGGTTCTGGGCAGAAAGAAGAGGCAGGACAAACAGTGTCTCACTGTGGACACTTGGAAACTAATAGAGGAGAGAAGGATAGTGAAACAAAAGATTATTCAGTGCACCGACGAGCAACAAAAACAAGAGTTGAATGCAAATTACAATACACTGAACAAAAGAGTGAAGAAGAGTGCCAGGGAAGACAGAAGAAAATATTATAAAGCCATGGCAAACGAAGCAGAACAAGCTGAAGGCAAAGAGACCTCGCCACACTCTACCAAACAACTAGGCACCTATCGGGAAAAAGTTCGACACAGATTAAGCCAGTAAAGGATGACTATGGAAAGTCAATCACCAAAGAGGTGGAACAAAGAAAACACTGGGCTGAACACTTCAAAAGACTTCTAAATAGACCGCCACCTACAACGCGCCCAACAATACCAACAACAGAAGCAGAACTACCAGTGAACATCGACCCTCCGACGAAATCAGAGGCCCTGAATGCAATCAAGATGCTAAAAGCTGGAAAAGCACCAGGACCAGATGGAATCCCAGCAGAAGCTTTGAAAATAGACGCAGAGACAACAGCGGACTTGATGACGCCACTACTGGAGAAGGTGTGGAAAGAGGGCAAAGTACCTGAGGATTGGAAGGACGGATACTTATTCAAACTACCAGAGAAAGGAGACTTAAGTCAATGTAAAAACTGGCGCGGAATTATGCTCCTGTCCATCCCAAGCAAAATGCTAAGCCGCATCATCCTGAGAGAGAATCAAACAAGCCCTAGATGAAAAACTCCGACGGGAACTAGCTGGATTCAGGAGAAACAAGTCATGTATTAATCAAATCGCCACTCTACGAATCATCATTGAACAAAGCTTGGAATGGGAGTCGCCTCACTCAACTTCATCGACTTTGAAAAGGCCTTCGACAGCTCAGCGTCGATCGGAGGTGATTTGGCAACTACTTCGCTACTACGGGGTGCCATCGACAATTATACATCTCATCCAACAGTTATACGACAATGATGCATGACAAGTAATCTACAATGGGAAACTTACAGAAGCCTTCAAAGTAAGGACGGGAGTGAGACAAGGCTGTCTATTGTCACCAATGATTTTCCTGATTGCAGTAGATTGAATAATGCGACAGACAACGGGCAATGAGGAAACAGGCATAAAATGGACTCACACAAAAAACTTGGAGGATCTGGACTTCGCCGATGATATATGTCTGATTTCCCACAAACTGGAAGATATGCAAGTGATGAAAAGCAACAAGTTAGTAGAAGAAGCATCAAAGATAGGACTTCAAGTGAACATAGATAAAACAGAGGTGATGAAGATTCCTGGCAAACACCACCAACAACAACAACACACAACAATCAGCATAAATAGGAGGAGCCTGAAAGAAACAACCTCCTTTACCTACATGGGAAGTACCGTTTCAACTACAGGCGGAACTGACGGGGATATCAAAGCCAGAATCGGAAAAGCAAGGCAGACTTTCATTACTCTTAAGTCTGTGTGGAAGTCAACAGCACTCAGCATCAAAAATAAGATCCGGATTTTCAACTCCAATGTAAAATCAGTGCTTCTATGCGGATCAGAGACTTGGCGAGTCATAAAGAGCATCTCAAACAAACTCCAGACCTTCATCAACAGTTGTCTTCGCTCAATACTCAAGATCAGATGGCCAGAAAAGATCAGCAACAGGGATCCCTGTCAATGAGCGAACCAACCAGGAACCGACTGTGAAACAAATAGGCAGGAAGAAATGGAGATGGATTGGCCATACGCTGAGGAAACCATCAAGTGACATCACTAGACAAGCCATTGCTCGAGTGGAACCCGAAAGGGAAGCGGCGAGTTGGTCGTCCAAGGGTGACTTGGAGGAGGTCATGCGAGGAGGAGATGAAAGCATATGGGCAGACTTGGAGCAGGGTGAAAAAGTTGGCAGAAAACCGAAGGCAATGGAGACGCGTGACTGAAGCCCTATGTTCCTCTAGGAATTAAAGGATAAAATATTAATATAATATACATTTAAGAGTAAGGCGGCGACAGGAGAAAGAAATAAACTGAGATAGTAATATTGCCAATCACTCAGTTAAATATTTTAAAATTAACAATACGATTAAGAACACACGATATTAGTGCATCTGCACCAATGAGATTTTGAATCGTAATAACTGCATTTTTTAACTATTTTTTCACTGTCCTACAAATCTTGATCAGAATGTTTTCAGTTCTTTGAATACTGCAGGCTAAACACTGCACACTTCATATCTAGTTGTGGTGAGAGCTGTCCGAAAGCCAAAATTGTAGACAACAATTTGCGTCAGTGTTTACGCCCCAAATAGGGGTCATGAGGAAAAACAAGAACAAGGCTGGACCTTGAGGAACTCAACAACCAACTGCAACAGACTTAATGTGCGCAAATAGGATTCACAGATATATGGATTAACTTTCTGAGGAACGGTCACAAGCAGTACAGAATAACCTACAGAAAGAAAACAACCAATCAGAAGACGTTGCTTCTCTGATAACAATAACGAATAAATAATGATGTACACAAATATCTATAGATATTTCTTGATTTTCTCAAAAATCGTTCTGTTGCCTGGACCTTGTCTTCTGTTACTAAATCGGAAGGTACGACAAGCAGATAGGCAGATTAGTTCAGGCGCAGACAGAATAAGGTGAAAACGTCTTCATTCAATTCCCTACAGTTATAACAAATTGGCGACGGGGTTTTACCTTAATTCATTGCAGTTATAGCAAGCAAACGACGACAGTTTTTATTCTGTTCAGCGCAACTATATAACATTTT